AAAAAAAAAAAAAAAAAAACAACACAAAAAAGGGGGGCGGGGTGACGGACCAGTAGAAAGCCCTGGGTTTGATCCCAAGCACCAAAAGGGGAAAAAAAAAAAATAGTTCTGGGATAAATAAACTAACTGGAAGTAATAATTTCTTTTTTCATCCATTCATTTAACAAGTATTTAGTAAGCAGCTATAAATTGCTTCAATCATTCAATAAATACACAAAATAGAAAAACACTTAGTAGGATTTCTACATGCCCATATTTTGAGAAATTCTCTATGTGCATTTGACATATAATTATATGTGTGCAAATGATCTTACCTCTCTTACAGATATCTGTGCTGGGAAGGAGACTGAAAATACCAAGTTGGTAAATTCAAATCCAGAGGTCTCAACCTTTTGGCATACCTAAAAAAATATTACAGGTATGTAAATCCCCACAAGTTGCTGAAAATATTAGTCTAATCTTCACATAAATTTCTGGCTCAGGAGATAACATTACAAAACTTCCAAACTTTCACCTTTGAGGGCTGAGAATGTAGCTCAATGGCAGGGTACTTGCTAGCATGCACTAGGCCCAAGACCACAAAAAAAAAACAAAAAAAGATTCCTCTCATAAACATCTTGTATTTGCTCACTATGACCCAGAAGACTAATATCATCAGGTATGAAAACAGCCAGAACTGACACCTGCAAAATAATCTGAGTGTCAAAATAGTTTTCTATTAGGTCATTTCATAATTTTTTAAATGTTTTCAAATAAAAGGAAATCAAATATAGCTTTCTCAGCTGCAGTAAACAAAAGGCAATTCTACATCCAACCATTTACCTCTTACAAAGATGTTAACACTTGTCTTTCTAGGTAATAACAGGAAAAACAAACTTTTAACTCTAGTGATGTTAAAGAACAAGAGGAAAATAAATTGCTGTAATTTTCTTCAGTTGAACAGCACTCATGAATCAAATACAAAGAAACAGTTCATTAATTTTCAGATATGTTGACACAAAGGAATTTCAGAGTAGCAGGCTTTTGTTTGTTTCTTTAAATTAAGAAAACATTTTAATGATTCATTGGTATGAAGCAAGTTGAAATGAGTGATACAGTTCCTTTCCATACAAGAATTCTAAACCTGGGCCGGGGCTTTAGCTCAGTGGCTCTGCCGCCTGCCTCGAAAGCACAAGGTCCCGAGTTCGATCCCCAGTACCAAAAAAAAAAAGAATTCTAAACCTTAAAACTGAAAATCTCGACATAATTATACCTGCAATAAATTACTTATTTACCTTTTTTATGAATTCTTTCTCACAGAATTCTTGAAGAATCCCTAGACAAACATTACATACATTTAAATTTGAGTTCTTGGAAGCAACACTTCCATCTTCAATAACAGAGCTCCTGGCCTCCCCATTTTGACTCGGATTATCAATCCCATCTTCCAATTCTTGCAGCCTAATTTTCTTGGGAGGTGGATTTAGAACTTCCAAAATTAATCCGTCTTTTTCAGTTTCCAAAAATTTCTGTAGCCCATGGAGCAACTCCTGAAAAATTAACAAAAGAAAAAAGCAATGACCCTTTTACAATGTCCTTAAAGAGTTTCTAGATAAAATGAAGCAGGAAAACAAGTAAATATTTTGAGACTTGTACAATCAATTCTAAAACAGTTTATTTTCTTAGCCAGCACTAGGATTCTAGGGAATTCAAAAGAGACTTAACTAACTCCTATTACACGTGTGAATATTTTCTCAAAAAAGGTCTATATATTTAGTGATTCTGAAACTCTCAATCTTAGGCAGAAATGCTCTATCAACAAATTTATTAATTTGGTTTATATTCCATATTTGCTTGCTAATTTCAGTAAAACAAACTTTCATTCTAATTAACACATTAAAATACAAACTGGGCTGGGGATGTAGCTCAGTGGTAGAACACATGCTTAGCATGCAGGAAGCCCTAGGTTCAAACCTTAGACCTGCAAAAAAAAAAAGAATAAAAGTAAAACTGTATTTCCATCCTTGCTAAACTATTTAACAACCTCCCAATCACTAAAACCTCCTAAATATTGGTTTAATGTGAAATTTCATTATTTAAACACAAATAATAAATCTATTAAGTAAAAATTATTTTGAGACAATTTATTACACAAAGTACACAGATGCTGGCAGTGCTGAAATTTGGCACCAAAATTACAAATTATTTATATGTGTTAATTAAAAGAAGCCCTCTCCTATATTCTGCTTTGTGTAGTTTGTCATTCCTTGTATAAGAATGTAAAAAATGGCATTCTTTTGAAAACATTCTCATAGTTCAAATATTCTACTCATCTAAATATTTAGAGGACTTTTCCTCTTTCTTCTAAATTGGATAAGTTTTATTATTCAGCTGTTGAATATCTTTTTGAAATTCATTTAGATTATACTGACTCAAAAGGGAAAAAAAATCTTTCAAACAAATTTAATTCATTTTATTGAGATATGTTAGCTCTTCTATTTTAACAAAAGTATATATACATACACATATAGCTAATTATGACCCACACAAATATGTTTATTATTACATAATCCCTGTAATGTCAATATAATAGTACAAATATATATACAATTTAAGAATATTTAGTCTTCAAATATTTTTATATCTTTTTTTTTTTTTTTGGTACTGGAGATTGAACTCTGGTCCTTAGCTTGTGAGGCAGGCAGTGGAACCACTGAGCTAAATCCCCGGCCCTATCTTTATTTTTTTTAATGTTATACATTACATCTGGTAATTGTCTCTATATAATACATTTTTTTCTCAGACTGGGGATCAAACTCAGGACCTTGTGCTTGCCAGGCTGTATAATACATACTTTGAATCTTACAGCATGGGTATAAAATATTAGACTGCAATATGTTTTTAAAAATGTATAAAGTGCCGGGTATAGTGGCATACATGCCTGTAATTCCAGCACTTGGGAAGCTGAGGCAGGAAGATTGCAGTGAGTTCGAGGCCAGCTTGGGCTACATAGTGAGTTCAAGGCCAGTCTGGACTACATAGTGAGACTCTGTCTCAAAAAACCAAAAAAAAGTATAAGAAAAGTTACACAAAAACAGTCTTATTATTTCATAGTCACATTGTGTGTAGTGAATATACACATATATATATTAATCATCACTGCATATGTATCAATGCCAATTTTCAAGGTGTTTTCACATACTTTATTAGACACTGTCCTTTAAAATCTTGTGAGGCAGATATTATGCTCATTCCCATTTAGAGAAGAGTAAACTGAAGCTATAAAGTGGTGGAACTGGTGTTCAAATTCATGTCTTCTAGCTTCAAACCCTAGGCTTTAGATTCAGACAGACTATTCAAATCCTAGCTTGCTCACTTAATAGCTGTGTAACTTAATAGCAGGTTGCTTAGTCTTTCTGTGTCTCAGTTTCTTCATCCGAAAATAGAGACAATCATAGTATGTATTTACCTAATAGGTTATTATGAGGATTATATGAGAGCGTGACATATAGTAATGATAAGTTTTATTATTATTTCAAAAATAATAGGAACTAATCATATAGAATAAATAGCTATTGCTATTCCTGGGCACTGTTTAAAATAAGAAACAGAAAAATAAATAAATTTAAAAAAATATGAAACAGAATATGTGTATGAATATATTTACATATGTATATTACTATTTGCTGCTAAAAAGAATGTCACTATTGAATCAAACATACTTCACAAATATTCTCTCTGCTCTGTGTATTACCATAAATGTCAAAGATCTCTATTAACCTTTGTCACTACTAGCAGTAAAAATGATGATAATAACCATTTACTTCTATAAGGTTCCAAATCCAGTCATGTACCACATGTCTCCAACAACAATGGACTGCATATATGAATAGTAGCCCATTAAGATTCTGTCACCTAGTGATATAGTGGCCATCTTAGTTTAAGTACACTCTATGATGTTCACACAATCACAAAATCACCTAAGGATGTACTACTCAGAAAATTTCCCCTTCATAAAATGATGCATGACTATACCTATGTATAAATACAAATGGTAGGCTAAGGATGTGTCTCAGTAGTAGAATATTTGTCTAGCATGAGGTCCTGAATTCAAACTCTGGCACCAAAAACACAAAAATAAGTACAAATGGTAATATAGAGCAAGAAAAAAAGCAATCAAACCCATAATGCTGCCACTTAATAGAAGAGATCAGGATTATCACCCCCTCCAATTACACCTTAATAATATCTGGTGAAAAGCAATATTTTTTGATATTCTGTTTGGATACCCATTACGAAAGGTCTACACAAACATTAAATGTACCAGGGAATTCCTCCACAAAGATCCCTCTACACTAAATGTTAGAGATAATCACTTCAGAAGCAACTTACATTCCTGAAATTAATATAGTGGCAATTCCATAATTACCATTATCAGTAATTATTTCATTATAGTTTTTTATTTAATCAAGGGTTATAGATACTTGCCTTTGAAGGTACAAATATTTATTTTAAAATACAGAATACCACTTTTACCTTTAAAACATGAAAATACCTTATATGGAAGTCTGTAAGGTACATGAAAATCCACACCACAGAATCTGAAGATACATCTTGGACAGGTACCAGTATTGAGCAACAACTGGGCCACATGCTTGTTTTCCTCAGTCAGTGGAAACATACTGGGTATGATATCTAGAAAGAAATGAAAAATGAATGAGCAACTTCATGGTTTTACTGTCACCAACAAATGTTATCACCATTAGGGATTAAAACCTAGTGGGGGGGGGGTTAGTACTGGTGATTAAACCCAGGGCCTTCAGATTCAGCTACAACCCCAATCCTTTTAAAATTTTGAGATAGAGTCTTCCTAAGTCACTACATTGCCCAGGATAGGCTTGAACTTGCAATCCTCTTCAGCCTCAGCCTCCCAGAGTGCTGAGATTATGATGTGCCACCATGCCTGGCTTAATGCCCTTTTCACTATATGCCTATTCCAAAGTATGAATTTGAAGGAAGTTTATAGGTTAAGCAGCCAGGTATGGGCAATGTGCATCTGTAGTGCCAGCTTCTCAGGAGGCTGAGGCAAGAGGATCACTTGAACCCACAAGTTCTAGGCCAGCAGGGGCAACAGAGTGAGATCTCATCTCAAAAACAGATGGATCAAGTAAAGGCCTCTAATTGTGCAGGAATTTAGTTTACCATTCTGATTATGATACAGTATAACAATATAACACAATCAATCCAAAAAATAAAAATGGTTGCTTCTTAGGAGAGATGAAAAATGAGAGTGAAATCTTACCTTTAATTTTGTACCATTCAGTATTGTTTGAGTACTGAGTCACTAATTCATTAAACTTTTCCTGATAGAAATTAAAAATGAGTTTGCTGGAAAAAAAAAGGCTTTGCTAGAAAAGACCAATCTACATTGCACAATATGTGGCCAGTCTTAATGATAGTTTAGTAGCCATATATTTAAACAGTAGGTCCAAATTATGAGTAGGTCAAAAATATCTTCATTTTGATGGTATAATAACTAAATCGTAACTATTAGCAAAATGAGAAAAATTTGTTCCACCCACAAAACCTCCAACATAATTTATACAAAATATTTGAGAAAAATTATCTGCCTAAAATGTTGACGTATTTTCCAATTTGAACAAACTGAACAAGAAAAAAAATACTATGTAGAGAATGGGGGTAATCAAACATAAATTTCCTGTTGCCAGGAGGGAAGAGTACTAAAAATTCAAATTACCTAATCACTCTATTTTTGCAAAAATTCACTGATTAGTGAATTACTCCACATTACTTTAAGTAATAAACTAGTAATATTTTATAAAACAATAATTGCATGGCAATGTTGTGGAATAGTATAAATATAGTCATATAGATAAAAGACAGCAGCACTTTTCAATTTGTGCAATTTAATAATTTGAATGAACTTGCTTAAAATTTATGGGAGAGTGACGCTCTAACCAACAGTTTATATGCAGATGTGATTCTTATAGTTATTCTTTGCTTTTCAACCCTTAAACTCACTATTTATTTATAAGTTTCTAAATCTCTGGGGCCACTTAAGAGAAACAGATCCTTGAAACAAAATACTGAGGAAGAGATGTATTAGTTCCATAGAATTCTTCACCATAAAAATCAGTTCAGGGGCTGGGAATTTAGCTCAGTGGTTCCGCTGCCTGCCTTGCAAGCGCAAGGACCTGAGTTCGATCCCCGGTACCAAAAAAAAAAAAAATCAGTTCAACAGTCACTACAGAAAAAGACTGGCTGGGTTCTAATTCAGGAATGTGTTAGCAGTGAGAGGAAAGGAAGCAAGCCAGCCTTGTCTGGACACACCAGTGAGAGCCTTCAGATGCTATGATTAGGAAACAGTTACTCAGGATTCCCTAAGTATATATGGGACCCAGAGTATTTTCAAGAAAGGACATCGATATGACAACACTCTCTAAATAATGAAATCTGTGTGGCCAAGTCATTATTTACAAGTAATCTGAATCCCTTCCCTCAACCCACTTTATCTGTTAGTTTGATGCTGAGAAGACTGGGATTCTGCAAGGTGCTGAATATAAGCATTTAAAGCGCATCCCCTGCGGTCCCTCACAGAGAAACTGAATCAACCTGGCTCCTCTCCCTCCTCTCTCTCCTCACCCCGTGTGTGTGTGTGTGTGTG